TTTGTGGCATTGACATTCACCGGAAGCCAAGGAAAAGCACATGCCGTCGGCTTCTTGTCGCCTTGTCGATTTGCTTATAAACATACTATATATATATATATATATATATATATATATATATATATATATATTTATATAACGTCTGGTATTTTGTAAATCGCACTTCACTATTGATTGTGCTTTACTTTATTTGCTTCTTCCTTTTCGTCCCGTTTATTTATTTGACCAATCCAAATCAATAATACGCGCATTACGCATACGCAGCGTCAGCCACAGGCGATTCAATTTAAACTTTCTGAACTTAGCCTTAAATGCCCAAAATAAAATAAATTATTATGATAAATAATTGCAAGCAAATGAGCAAAAGATTTAATCCCTGGGCTATTAGCGCAACAAATTCAGTTAACAATAAGGCCAACTTCTTTTGGTATACTTATGCCCAAATTGTTTAACTTTTTAAAAGCAAATTTAAAGTGAAGTAACTTTTTAACAAAAAGAAATGAAAATATATTATCTCAAAGCATATATAATATACATATAAAATATATATATATGTTTTTTTTCTTCCACATATATTAAAATTAATATTTTTTTGTTGGATGCCTTAAGTTTTAATACGTTTTTCATCTTTGTTAATTTGCCCTCTCTCTGATAATTAATGACAGCAAGCTTCTTATGCCCCAAGTGTTGAAGCTGTTACCTTATATAGACAGTAGAAAAGTCGAATCAAAAGGCAGACAAACATTGGACAGAAGCAATATTTGAAAAGAGTAAAATGAATACCTCAATGAATACTTTTCTTTTTATACCTCTCTCCGGCGGTCTGCATGAAGTACAAATTTTCATTTTATTCTAATAAAGTTTTATTATTATTATTAATTTTATTATTTTTGTTATTCAGCAAAATATATTTATGTAAATTTTGTAGTCATTTATGACCCGACCTGTTGCACATGGAAAATCCTTTATTTATTTATGAGTTTATCGCGTTGTTTTATCGCATTTCAATTGTGGTAAATGCCAATTTGTCAAGCCAAACATTTTGGTTAGTTTGTGTCAAATCAAATTTAATTGCGAATTTATGCGCAATATGCGCATTATAATTAATGCAATTTAAGCTGTTTTATTGTTTCAATGGTTTTAGTTTGCTCATAAATTATTTGCGACAAGTTTTAGGCACGGAAATGTGCGTACGGCCGGATGCGTAAACAAGACACAAGGCAGCATGTGACAAATGACAGGATATTCGCATAATAAACATTTGGCTCGAATCAAAATTAATATCTTAAAGCCCATGCTCTCCCATTGACGTCAACTGCATATGCAGCGGGCTAAAAATAGTTGGCTATTTTAAGGTCAATTCACGCCCCACATTGCAGCATTAATTATTCACCAATGGCCAACAGCTGGACAGCACAAGAAAAAAAAAATAAATAAAAAACCTTTACAATTCATTTTGCATACGAAATGTTGAATCCCCCTTAACAAGAACTGGCAAATGCACTCAAATTTCAATTCACATTTGGTTAACCGGAGTACACTCGGCAATAAAGTGTCCTGCAGTGCCCTAATTCAATGTGTGGAAATACCCTGCGGACTGAAAAAATAAACTAGAATGTAAGAAAAACCTTTTCAGAAATTGCATGGATCTAAGGTTTCAGTGTATAACTACATAGATAATTTAAGGAGAAATGATTAATATACTCAGAGAAAAATATATTTATAAAATACTACATATTTATCAAAAAAATTACTAAATCTATATAATATAACATATTAATTAAAAAATAAATGAAAAATATTAATCAATTCGAATTTAGTTCAATTTGTACTTTATAAATTTGACCAACAATAAATTAAAAAAGAGAACTATAAATTTAGTGTCTACATTTAAAAAAAATATAATTTGCATTTTCTGTTGACAGTTTTTAAATGTTTTCTTTATTTAAATGAATGTTTAATGGTTATCCGCCATCCACTTAATCCCTTGATTGTTTTTTTTTTTTTTTTTTCTACCTATCAAATTGTAAATCTTCTTAACTGCATTTGCTTATTTGATTAACAATTACACCGCCTGACATGCGCTGTGAATGCGGTTTTAATTAAATTGTTTACGACTTGGTCTCACATGTTGCCCACCTATTTACATATTGTCCAATCTGTTTGCCATGCATTGTTTATAGAGCTGCAGCTGGCTGCTGACTGCTATGTTTGCTTATTAACCTTGTTAAATGCAGCCAATTAGGAATAATTAAATGTGAATCCTTTTCAAATTATTGGGCTTAATGCCTAATGCAATTAATAGTTAATAATATGCACGTAAGCCCATTAAATATGTACACTTAATGCCAAAACTACAAAGCTCTGGAATGCGCTTAAAAGTAGGCAATGAATTTTAAAATATAACGTCTTTACAATTGAAGATCGGTATTTGAAATACGAGTAAAGGGAAAGAAAATGTACTAGACTGTAAATAAAATAATTGAAAAGCTAGAAAAAGGTAGCAGAACAAATTTTAAATAAGATGCAAAAATTCAATTTAAAAAATAACAAAAACAATAATAAAAAGTAAGAATTAGAATTAAAATCCTTTCATTTTTCCTTTACATTTTTTAGGCCCGATCTGAAAGTCGAAGTCCACATTTAATATATGTATTTTTAAAATAAATATTTTTATGTAATTATATGGGACACTTTATTTTTAATCAATTTACGGTATAAAAAAATGTTGTGTTTTAAATGTTTTAAATTTTAGAGTACAGAACACATTATCCATTTCTACTCAAACATAATATTTTACAATGGAAATGTCGAATCCCACATTTAATATACATATGCATATTTTAAAAATAATTCTGAATTATTTATTAAAATTCATTTCATTTCATATAAAGATCATTCAGCCATTAAATTAACTTTATTGTGCTTATTTTAATTATTTGTAATTGACCATATATTTTCGCTGAACTTTCTTCGATTTTTCTTTTGCATTTCCAACTAAATTCTCGCTTCCTGCATATTATATGGTAATTTTTCATATATATATATATATATATATATATATATATATATATATTTTTTTTTTTTTTTTTTCTGAACACCCACACACATCAGCTAGACAACCTGCTTTGCTTCACTTATCCTATAATCAGCTGGGCGGGTGGGTGTGCTGGTGAGAGCATATGTGTGTGTGTAGGCGTGCCAGAGCATATATTCCATACACCATTTGGTCTTGTCGTGTCTTGTCATTTTCATCTGCTTCCGCGCTTCTTGTTCTTTATTTATTTTTATTAGCCAGCGCCGCGCTGGAAGCCAACTAGTATAGCTGGGCGTCAGCCACGCCCAGCGTGTAATAATAAGAATTTTCTACTTATCAAGTGACACAAATCTTGATTCAAGTGTCTGCTGAGCCCTGACTCAGTTGCACTTCCTCTAATGATAATGCTTAATTTTTTTTGAGAAGAAAATTTGCTCCGAAATTTATGTTTGATTGCAAATTTACGAGAATTAAAGAAAGAGAGGGAGACAGAGAGAGTGCAGAGTGATTGACAAGTTGATACCCTGTAATGTGTGAGCTTAGGCCTAAGACGCATAAGCTGTACAACAACTGTCAGCTGATTGGGGGTATTCGTGAATGTGTTTTTCATGTTTTCCTTGTTTTATCATGCCTATTTTCTACTGCCTAATTTAGATGGGTTTTTAATTTTATCTTCTTTCCTATATGTATAAATAGCTGTCAACGCTCTTGGCCTAACTTATCTCCAATTCTCCTTAGTCTCACAATAAACTCAAATCAAATAGAGCTTATCAAACATATCGAATTAAAGAACAATTTCACATCAGCTGTAGCCCTTTGCTTAGCTTCAAAGTAGCTAAATATTGTAAAACTCACACAAGGACTCGAGTTGCCTAGACTCAAAGGCTTATCGCCGAGCGAGGACAAACAAACGAATATAAAAAAAAGAAGAAATTGATTGACAATTATTGATATTTTATGAGCGGGCCGCCTAAAAGTTGTTGTCGATGTAAACTTGATGTGGGCATATTGTCTGGCATTAAAAAGAAAATCAGACAGAGGGAGAGAGAGATAGAGAAAATGAGAGAGGGAGAGAGTCGAGCAGGCATTTATTTAGACAGTTTTACAATTGTTTTCAGATTATTAAACATTTGCGATTACTTTTTGATTGCCCAAATTCGAGTTGGAAAAGTCACAAGATTTTCCGATTTACTTTAAAACAAAGTTGAAGAAAGGGTTACTAAAACAAAAAACGTTTCAGAAGAAATGAATTAATTTAAATTTATTAATAATTATAGTAATCATGTCAATAATGACACGAAATCTTAATATGTATATTATCTGGATTTTATTTAGCTGTATTTAGAATATTTTAAGTCTTATTTTATACAAATACGATTTTAATCATTTCATGTATATTATATTCAACAACATTTAAAATAAAAATTAAATAATATTATATATTTATCAATAACTTCAACTATATTTAAATATCGAATTATATATCCTAAAAACTACCTATTTATGATATGACTGCACTCTACAAAACTTTTATAAATAATTAATATATGATAAGTAGCATTCTTTTTTTTTTTTTTTTTTTTAATTTGACAATTATAAAATACCAAAATAGTCATTTGTTGAAAAAAGTTAACTGTATTTTACCTAATATTTCAACTAAGACATTTATTTTTCTAATGTTAATACATGAACACTACGAATTTCATATATTTATATACATATATAAATATTTTCTGACTGATATTTTGTAATAAAATAAACTTTACAATATATTAAGAGCCAAGTTTTTAGAAACCCTATTAAAAGCACTCGAAAACGTGCTGAAACATAAATTTAGCCTTAAATTTTTATCAAGTCAATTTTTTCTCAAAATTAATTTATCATCAATTTAATGGCTTTTTAAATTATATTTTTACAAACAGTGCTTAAAATTGTCATAAAAAATGAAGTAAAGAAAACTCACCTGGCTGTTGTTACTTTTCAGCGATGGCAAATAGATTAAATACAAATTAGATTAACGCACGTTTACCGTTTATAGCGCGATGCGACGAATTGATAAACTTTAATTTGTTTTTTGTCGTATTTGCACTGAAAATTCTAACTGTAATCGAAATTTGTCAACCAAGTCAATTTAAAAAAAAACACGCACAGCGGTAACTTCTAAAAACTTTGTCAATTAAATTGCAGCAGAAAAACGCGAATTATTGTTGAAACTCTTTTTTTCTGATAAGAAAAACACTCGAACAAGAAATAGAGATGTCATTAGTTTTCTAAAATTTTTTTTTATTTAATTTTTTTGGCTTGTTTGATTTCAAAAACTGTGTTCTTTAACCGTTAGTTGGCGTAGAGCGCTGGTTGGGTTGGTTGGTTCACTGGTTCGACGCGCACGATACGAATGCAACGATAACGACGACGACGACTTGTTTTATACGCTACGACTTCGCTCGCCGACTGCCGAACACCGAACATATTCGGCAAACGGTTTCAACTTGAACGTTGTTTGCATTGCTTCTTCCTGTTGCGCCCAATTCAATGAAAGCTGCACGCCGGCATGGCGTTTGGTTTGCGTCTTGGCTAAGCTGCAAAGCTCTAAAGAAGCGCCCACGCAGAGCCGAGCAATAAATGTGCGTGACGTCAGCACGACGAGGTCGCCTTAATTGAAAAGCTTTTCTAGTTGCCTGCCATTCGCTGGCATTCAATTTTGCTGTTGGCTGCTTCTTCTTCTTTAAGTACGCACACGCATTCGGTGGGCGGCGCTTAATTTTTTGTGGTTTTTTCGGACACCTTTTTGGATTTACCAACCACAAGAGGGTTGAAAGCTAATCAAAAACAATAAATTATGTAACCCACGGACAAACATGCACAAAAGACATCTTTGTTTTAATAATCTTTTAGTTTTTCTGGCCTCCCTGTTTTTGTTTTTTATTTTTTTTATAGAATGTGGCGTTCCAAAGCTGCAGATCAAATTTCTTTTTGCAGCTGCATTTACATTTCCCATTTAGGTCTCCCATTTGACATTTGACATTTGATTTAATCACTTAAAATGAAAGTTAATCCCATTGAGCGAAAAGAACAAAACAAAATAAGAGGGAGAAAAATATAGAGAAAGGGAGAAAGCGATGTTAATCTGAATCATAATTCAAATATTACGAATACGCACTGCGTTGCAGAGAGCTTCCGTTATCGCTTATTTCCCTAATATAAAACTAATGTTTCAATTTAATTATGTAAAACAAGATATAAAGTAAAATTTACATATGACCTAAATCTTTTTATATATTTAAACAAAAAAGCTAAATTATAATTTAATCCATGTCATATTCAGACTTGGTTATAATATATAGATAGATAATAGAAATACAAAAAATATATAGAAACAATAATATATGTATATATAAACATATATAAAATTTCTTAAGTAATAATATGAAATGCAAATAAATTATATTTTTTTTTTTTATAAATCCTTTTAAATACGGAGATTGAATAAATTTATCATGTGTATAAAATGCTGGCAGTTTTCAACTAACTATTTGTAACCCAATTAAAATTCCCTAAAAATTAAACTCTTAATAATGTAAATAGAAAATTACTCAATTTTTCAAATTTTCTATTGGTCGGAATTATTTAAATAGCATAAAGAATAAAAGAAATAATTGACAAAAAGTACGAAAATCGTTCTTCTTTTTCATAGCAAAATAAAAAAAAAGTATTACTATGAAAGTATAAAAACAATAATAATAATAAAATATAGTTTTATATAAAATAATTACGAATAATTAATTATAACATTTTATAATAAACATATGCAATATGTTTCTCTCAATATTTAAGTTCTATTTATTTTCCTTAAATCAAAGTCCACAATTGGATTGTAAGAAATTATACGGTTTGTGTCCAAATAAATTGCCGGAAACAAAGCTCGTCAAAGCTCATGGGCGGCAGTCAACAGTACAGTAGAGGCTAAAATAATGTGCATACTGCTCAATGTAAAAGCTACAAAATCTTTTACCTATTACAAATTAAAAAGAAAATTAAATGGTACAGATTCAAAAATTAAAATTGTCAAAATCATGCATACAAAATTAAATTAATATTTTAGTAATTACAATTTACATATTCTATCCTTGAATTTCGCTTACCCACATCAAAATTTTAATTGATTTTGCTCTACTTAATTCTACAAAAATAAATAACTCAAAAAGTTAACTGAGAATATCAGATTTTATTCAAAATCTTGAATGTAATGAGAAGTCAGCCAAAAACTGATATAAAAAACACTAAAGGTAAATAAAAACTCACTTTGATTATTTTTTAAGGAATATTTTTACTCTTTATTTGATTGCTATTTATTTATTATTTGTTTTTTTCTTTTTATTATTATTATTATTATTATTATTATTATGCAAATATTGCCGAATTTGTTCATCAAATAAAACAGTTTATTTAGTTTTACATCCATTCAATTACGTAACGCACTTTGCTGGGCTTTGTTTGATTTTTGTTTTATTTTGCAATGAAAGATTCATTTCGAGCTCAACTTAGTTGGTAAGAAAAAATATGATTGGACAAAAATTTGTATATGGTACATAATAATTATAATTAAATTACAACTAAATAACCGTAAATATTTATATGTATATGTATACGCATTAATTATTCTTTAATTTCCACATTAAAATAATGTACACTAAAAACTTAGGCTTAGGAGTCGAGTGCCCATTGCTTAATACACTTTCCCAAAATACGATTTGACGCATTCTTCTTTTTTTTTATTTTTAAATAATTTCCTAGTTTGTTCGATTTTGATTTAGTTTTGTGTTATTGCACAACAATTTCTTCATTTTGTTCTAAATTTAATTACTGTTGATACGTTTTTCTTCTTCTTGTATATAATTGCTAAATCACTGGATTTTCCTATGCATTTTCTTTTCAATTTTTTATCTTTTTTTTTTTTCATTTTTAAAGCAGAAAATTACAAAAATGTTTTTTTTTTTTTTCTTTTTGTCTAAATAATTTACATGGAGTTAAGCTTAATTACAATTTGTTGTATATTTTGTATTTGTTTTTGCATTTGCCAGCTCGTGCTAAAGACTATTTTCTCAGTTATTGTTCGCTTAAATGCTATGCCTAAATATATATGTGATATTCGATCTACACAAAAATTCGCCAATTACTAAAATTATGCAATTATCGTAATCGATATATGTAAATCATATATATATATATATATTGTAAATGTGTATATAGTTATCGTATGGGGTATTAACTATTGCTCAGTAAGTGTGTTTTGCGTGTTTAGCAACAGCAAAAAAAGAAAGAAAAAAAAATGAAATACAATAGCTAAATAAATTATAATATTAAATGAATTATTGCGCCAGCTATAAATCGACTCTTCATATTGTTTAAATAAATTTTGTTTCATTTCCTTTTTGCTCGCTCAACACGACGATATCACAACAAAATGTACCAAGTAGAAGAATTAGTTATCGTTATCAGTTATCGATAGCCACGAATCGATTCACGTAAATGGTGGCGGCAGGACAATCGGATCGAAGCTCTGCTGTAGCATCGAAAAGTTACTGAAATTCGCCATGCGCCGATAACCCCACAGATCCATGGCCTCCGTGCAAACATCCTGAATTTGTTTGATCTAGAAAACCAGAAAATTAATATATGTAAAAAAAACATGTATAATAAATGTATAGATAATTTACTCGGCCTACCTCCTCCGCCCTGAGATCCTGTTTCCAGTGGAATGGCGCCGATCTGGAATCACGATATGTGGAACTAACCCCGCCCTTGTTCTCCTTGGTATGAGTATCCAGAAATTCTTCGACAGCCGGATCAAAGGGCAGTCCGTAGAACTGTAAAATATCCTGAGTCATGTCATATGGATTCAGCGAGAGATCCTCATAACGCAAAGTTCTATGGGGAAGAAGTAAGTAAGTGGTAAGTTAAATAATAATTTATAAAACATAAATAAAATATATCAATGTAAACTCACCGAAAACGTCCTGGATATGCTTTCAGCAGTTTCTCCGCCGTCCTGTAGTCATCGACCAGATCCTGACAGACCAGCGCGGGATCTTCGCAATCCTCGTTGCCCGCACACCAGACGCGATGACGCCGAGACTGCATTGTGCCCCGCGGATCTCGGACCAGCAGTACGATACGCACATTAGATAGACTGTAATTATATGGAGATTCGAGAGTGTTATGCATACAGTATATGATTAAGCGGAACAATAATTGCATGCACTCCATTATAACTGGCGTAATAGTTGGGCAGTCAGCGTGAAGTTCACTGTGCCGTAACAATGCCATTCAATTAAGTCAAATTAAAAGTTTCAATTGAGCTTCATAATTGCTGTTTATTGTTAACTACCTATATTTGCACAGACAATTTGCGAATAATATATTTTTTTTTTTGATAACATAATGACATAAGTTTTCATAGTAATTTCGAATTTAATTAATTATTATAACAACTCTATTACAAGGTCTGTTCTACGGAATATTTACATGAAGACTTTTTTTATATTTAAAAAAAATTTTTTTTTACTCAATTAAAATAAATAATAAATTAATAAATTAAAAAGAAAAAAAAAACATTTAATTATATTGAGGATAAAAAATTATGGGCTGCTATTATTTTTAGTCGACTGAAGTTTTCTTTTTGTTAATAAATATAATTTTTTAATTTTACAGTGTGTAGCATGTAAAAATGCATAAAAATTAATTTTGATTTTATAATTTATAACAACAGAGATAAAAATGCATTAAAATAATTTACAAGTTGTGACTTAAATATTTTTGACTTTAATTTCACATTTTTAGCCTTTTGCAATGTAAATGCTGTGTCTCAATTATAATTCACATTCGAAATGTCGTCGTTATCAGTGACAATGTGCGAGCGTAGTAATTGACATTTACCACAGAATAACCAACTGCATGCCCTGGCTTCTCTCCAACCGCAATTCTAATGAGTTTGTGGCAATAGCTAACTGTCAACTCGTCAACAAAATTATGCAGGCACAAATGTATCTCACAGATACAAATATATATAGGAGTTGACATGTGATAGTAAATTGGATTTGAATGGTAAAAGCTGCGATGGGAAGATTTTTGGGTTTACCCAAATCAGCAATCATATATTTCCAAAATATTTCTTATCTATTTGCATATTTTTAATCGCTTATCGTTCAGACGAATTATCTGCGATAATAACAAACGCTGACAGTAGTCAAAGAATGTATTTCATTGATTCATAACTAACAGCTGAAACAGAGAGATAGGTATTTCACCTTCAACAAGCTGCTCTGTTTAATATGCCTCATATAGACTGGTATCATTGCTGGGTATTCAAATCGATGAATATGTGTTGCACAACATTTGCTGCGAATATT